ATATATATATATATATATATATATATATATACAGGGATATATATATATCCCTGTATATACCCAACTATACCCAATTTTTAAACAAGTAGAAATCACCGTAAATAAGTCTTAGCTACTTCTTCCAAACTTCAAAGAATAGCAACATACTTTAGCAAGAAAAGAAACTTAAACAATTAACGAATAATTTACAAAGACAAAAAGCTTCAAAAGACATGGGATTTACCAAAACCGTATCATGCAGTTCTTCGCTGCGACCGAGAAGGGTTTGAAGGTAAATGGCAAAAAGTGTTGTAATGTTAAGTGAGAATAAGCACAGCTGAGCTCAAACATAATACAGAAAGTTCACTAACAAAAGAACGACTTAAATAAATACACGGAATAAAGACGTGCACTGATAAGAATAACGCTAAGAAGAACATCTGAAAGTAACACTTCATTATTCAGCAGAACAGTGATGCTGAACTGCGTCGACTTAACTATTATATGAAATTTTTATTCATCTGTGCTTTATCATCTCAATAACTGCTTGAACAATTTTTGAAAAATATTAAGAAGACAATTAAAATAAATCTTCTGAGATCATTTTGCGTTATTTAGGATTACCTAATTTTTTAAACAACCTTTATAACAAAAAATTTTGAAAACTTGAATGAACTGATGCTACAAAAAAATTGTTTATCACCGCTTTAAAAAATTTTGAATACTAACTACAATTTTTTCATACGTTTTTGTTGTAAAAGGAGAAATTTGAGAAATTATTTTGAATTTTTTAAGCGAAGAATTGAAGCAGAAGAATTACTGTAACGCAGTCTGTTTCTTTTTTTCGGTGTTAAAATACTTTAGCTACTAAGCTCGGAACTGTCCAAACAACTGTTGTTATTCTGACTTCCTTATTTTCCAGTTTTTTGACAGTATTTCTTCTGCCGTTCACTGCGTCTTAAAGATGGAATTCTACTACATCGAAGAGCTTTGCAAATACTCGAGGGAGGGAGACCTAAAAAGTATCCGCCGTTTGTTGGTCGAACACAAGTTTGATAATGAAAGGATGAGGGAAGCAATGGTTAGTATTTATAAAGAATGACGATTCCTGTTCCCAATTTTCTTATTTACTTCGATGGCGGGCAGAAAGTGCCTCTGTTCGCTCATGAACGGCTTGTTTGAAAAAACGAGGGATTCTGGTGAGCGCGTTTAACTAGAGCGATGTTGGCAAAAGACCGAGATAGTCTCATAAACAGTGAATAAGGCCTTAATAAATTTTTGGTACAGAAGTGACGTTATTTGCGGAGCCACTGCTTTTAAACAGTAAAAACTATTTCTTCAACTGCCTTGTATCAGCGCTGATAAGGTTTTCGCGCTTGAAGACAACTACATTCACTTGGTTCAAAATGAATTTAGGTTGACAAACTAAAATTTCCCTTATGCTTCAGGAAAAACCATTGTTTACAGCGTCTGAATGCGGGTATCTGGAAATTGTTCGCTTCTTTGTGGATTATGGTGTGAGTATTACTCGAAAAGATAAAGATGAGGTAAATGATTGAACGTAAAACTCAAAATTACTCACTGCTTCTTAAAAGATTATAACTATAAATAAGAAAGAAGAAGGTCAAACGACAGGGAACCATAAAAGAATTTACCTACTTGTGTCGCCTTTATTGACGATCAGAGAGAAAAAGAGGAACGAGAATTAGAGGAGAGGGAATCATGTAGGGAGGGAACAGTTAACAAATCAAGTAATGTCAGAAACTCTTGGGAAAACTATTTTTTAGGGGAGCTGTTATAAATTAATTAAGCTTCAGTAAAAAAAATTAATGTAAATTCTAAATTTTCTGCTTCGTTCATAACACTTGCAGCAAAAGTTAGTACATTACCAACTTTTCCTTTTATAAACTAAGCACGAGTATCAGATTATAAAATTCTGATCTCAAATTCCAGAGGAGTTCATGGCAAAAATTCATAAAAGACTACAACTTTTTCATTACGTTCTAAAATTTCGTAAAGTAACAAATATGAAAAGTATCTTTTTGTTTTCAGGAAACTCTAGCATTTAAAGCAGCTTCCAGCGGAAACGTCGAGCTGGTTAAATACCTCGTCAACTGCGGAGACGACGTTACTGCAGCGGACGAGTATCACGTATAAATTTGTAAAATTTCTTTGGAAAAACTGCGTTTGAAAGGAGCCATTTTAAACAGTCAGTGTCTGCAGCTTAACTCCGCTATTCAAAAAAGTCATTCTCAGCGAACTCTTAATTAAACAACTTTTTAACGATGCCTTACTTAGTTGTAACAAACAAATAAATTCTGCTTTTGAGTATTTTTTCTTTCTTGGCTTTTCAAGAATATTGCTTTTAGCGATTGTGGTTTAAAAAAATTTTTTAACTGTATGTTTAATTTTGGATATCCTTATGTCAGCAACCCTCCTCTGTCAACTCTTCGTCACATTTTTTATGTTTCCGTGTGCTGATGGTGCGGGGTGACCAAATAAGAAACGTGCAGTATTCAAAAGCGTTTGCTTAAGTTTTACAAAAGCATTCTGATGAGAAAAAAAAAGCATACAAACTTTTCACAAAAGACTATGTAAATTCTTGACCTGAAAAGTTGTGCGCAGAGAAACCAGTAGAATAAAAATCACTTATGCAGCTAAGTTTTTAAGTAGATACTGAAAAGTAAAAGACGGCACGAAACACACAGAAACAAAAGTTTATCCCAATGCAGTAAAGGTTCACAAATGCGTCTTTCTCAAAAAGAGCTAAATAAGAAAATTGAAAAGGCGAATAAAACATAGAGATTGATAGAAGTATAAGAAAGTTATTTTTTGCAGACCAACCTAAACACTGAAGTACTTAAACCTTAAAGAAAAAATTTGGATGTTCAGTAAAAACAAGAAAAAGTATAGGAAAAGTAAGAAGTCACAGAAAGAATTACTAATAAAAAAAGAAGTAAAAATTTCAAATACCACAGCTTTGTAAATGGTTTGTTTCAGCGAACAGCGTTACACACAGCATCATTCAGAGGAGACCTCTCGATGGTGAAGTACTTGGCTGAGACTGGTATGGATAAGAATTCAAAAGACAGAGTACAGGTAAAGTTTTTTTGAAATCACCAGCAACTAGCGTTTAATGCTCAGCATCTGAAGTATTTCTTGAGACTTAGCCTGTTAATCGACATCATAATCTGGTAAAAAAAGTACATTAAACCGTTCTCTCGTGCAAAAAATTTCTATTTATTCTGGAGAGAAACTATTTACCAAAATACAGAAGCTAATAGTTCCTCATTAATAGTCACTGCCAATGCGCTCAAAATTACTGCTAAGCAAGCCAAATTTTCAAGAACAGCAGAAAATACGCATATTAAGAAAGTGGTTTTTATCTCTAAAAATTATTCAATGCGAATTGAAAGCATAGACTGCTAAAGAAATGCTTTGAAAGGTAGAAAACAAAAAAAAAAAATTGATAATTTCAACAATTACTATATAAAAAACAAGAAAAATAGCATGTACTCAACTTGGTCCTGCATACACCATAAAATATTACTTCTTATTCTGATGTGAAAAAAATTAGTAATTGAAAGATCTCCTCAAAATCTTGAATTTTAAGACTTGAAGAAACTTTACACTCTTACAACTACAAATTTTACTCAAGAAAGAGGTTATCATAAATTTACTTTTTTTAGCTACAACGATAACAAACATTCTAAAAACATTACAGTGAACATAGAGAAATACGATGTAAGTTTGAAGAGAAATAAGTGCTACCAAAAACCATAGCATAATTAAAAATACCAAAAACAATAAAAAAACTACTGTGAAATTAGAAACTATTTGTTTAACAGCATTTCACAGACACACAGCAATTGTACAAATTTTGGCTGAATTTAAAGCCCAATTAAACGAAAAAAATAAATATGAGGCAAAGAACTGTTGAAAGCGTTGAAGGAAATCATTTAGTGGTCTAAAAGCTTTGAATTAAGAAACGTTTGATGTAAAATATGAGAACAGTTTAGAAATTGTTGAAATAAAATAAATTATAAAAAAATCTTAAAAAAACAAAACAGAAAAGTAATCAGGTGAATAATTTAAAAAAAAATACTCTACACAAAAATAAGGCCTTTTTTTTTTTTTTTTTTTTTACAATATCTCTTTACTGTGCATTTTTACTCATTTTTGCCATCAGTAAAAAATTTTTTTGAGAAACATTCAGAAATATGCAAAAACATTTAAGCTATAAAAAAAAAAAAACAACCGAATTTTCAATGTCAGTCAACGTTTTAGAAGACCATCTAATAAACAGTTTTGAAAAATTTTATAAAAAATGGAGAAATTCATAAATTTATTTAGACAAAATTACAAATTATAGAATTTTTTAATTTATTGTTTTTTGAAGAAAAACAATTAAACCGCAACGGCGAGAAAGAGTTTAATTTGGACAAATTATTAAGATGCACTTTTTCAGAGCACTCCGATGCATTGGGCTGTGAGGAACGGACACACAGAAATTGTAAAAATTTTGGCTGAAAATAAAGCCGATTTGAATGTAAAAGATTCTGATGAGGTAAAAACTGTTAAAAGTGTTGATTAGCAGTCGAAAAACTTTTAATTCACAAACGTTCAATGTAAAATAAGAAAAAAGTATGAAAATTTTTGAAAAAGAATAAACTTTTGAAAAGTCTGTGAAAAAAAATAAAAAAAAGAAAAAAAAGTTATTAATTGAACAATTTGAATGACAAATAATTATTTCGTCACGAAAATTTTCTGATATTTTCTTGCTGTGCATTTTAATTTTATCTATATTTCTTGTGAAAAAAATTAGAAAACTGAAAACGTTAAAACCAACAGAAAGTAAAGTGATCAAAATTTTGATATCACTTAACGTTTTAGAACAACTTCTAATAAACAGTTTTGGAAAATTTTATTGAAAATAGACAAATTTTATAACTTATCTGAAGAGAAGTGTGAATAATTGCAGTTTTTAGTTTATTCTCTTTAATGAAAAACAGCTGAACCGCTATTGCAAGAAAAGTTTAATTTAGATAAATTATTGAGATGCATTTTTTTTCAGAGAACTCCAATGCATTGGGCTGCGAAAAACGGGCATACAGAAATTGTAAAAATTTTGACTGAAAACAAAGCCGATTTGAATGCAAAAGACAAATGGCAGGTAAAAAATTGCTGAAAGAGTTGAAAAAAATCAGTTAACAGTCTGTAGACTTTACATTAAGAAATGTTCGTTGTAAAATAAGAGAACAGTAAAAAAGCTGTTGGGAAAGAATAAATTGTTAAAAATTTTTTTTGAAAAAAAGAAAATTAAT